GGTCCTAGGGGAGAGCCTTAGGGTCCAGGACCCGTTTCCCTCAGGACCTGGTTCTTACATGCCAAATCAGCTCCCCAAGCTTTTCTTCCGCGAACACGCGCGAACCCGACCACCGCGGGTCTAGTCGACGCCGGGGTTTCTCGAAGGGCCCCTCTGGGGTTCACCTGTGCAGACATCCTCACGATACTGCGCCCCAGCCGGCCCTTCAGCATTGTGACCTGCAGAGGCAGGGCGCACATGAGCGACGGAAGACAACAGGGTCGACTGCGCCGACATTGGCGCGTAAGCTGCCCGCGTAAGGTCGCGCGTGAGCGCCCTCGTCTCCAATGTGGCGTGCCGCTCCCGCGGCCCGCGTCAGCCACCTCGTAAGGTCGCTGTGCCACTTCGCGTAAGACCCGTTTTCGATCGTCGCTCACATGCGGCTGCTTGTTTTTACGAGTGGACGTCCTCGCACGCCTCCGCGCCCGCTGGGGCGCTGCAGGAGGCGCCTGCAGCGGCCTGTCCGGGGGCCGCCCGGCGGACTTCGGGGAGCCCAGAGGTCGGAAGAGGCAGGCGCAGACTCCCGGCGCGGCGTTTTCTTCCGCGCGGTGGCCCCAGACGTCCCGGCTCCTTCCCTTGGCATCGCGCGGGCCTGTGCGCTGTTTCTCGGCGAGGACCATCGAGGACCATGTGGATCATCAGACGACGCATGCGCGCTCGAAATCGAAGATCGCATGATGGATGGACGTCCGAGCGATGGCGACTTCCCGGTGGGCCGACTTCCCATCCCGCCCGTTCGACGGCGCCAGCGTCCAGGAGGCGCTCCAGGCGCCGAACGCGGGAGAAGGCCTCCTCCTCCTCCTCTTCCTCCTCCTCCTCCTCCTCCTCTTCCTCCTCCTCCTCCCTCGTTCCTCCTCCGCGGCCTGCCTCCTCTTCCCTTGGCCGCAGCTGTGCAGGCCCAGCTGTGATTTTCAGAGCACGTGTGGGGTCGTTCTGGTCTTGCTCCCGCGATCCGTTGGGCTCCCGAGTAAGAGTTGCTGTTTTTCTGTCTCCTCTTCCCCCCTCTTTCTCCCCCCCTCCTCTTCCCCCCCTCCTCCCCCCTGCCCGGAGCAGCAGGCGCTATGCTTCACCCAATTCTGCCTGCAACAGCGAGCCCAGGATACATCGTAGATTTCGGTCGGGCATGTCCCTCCTACAGGAGGAATGTCCAAAAATCGTCACACAAATGTGCTTGGGACGATTTCTCGACTGCTTTTTGACTAGCTTTGAGTATTGTCTGATTATTCTCATTTTTTGCACACATCCCGTGGGAGGACATGCCCGACCTAATCGTAGTTTCGCCGGTCCTCTTGTTGAGGACCTGCGGGCCTGAGTGGCCGCTGACCCGCCGTGTATAGGTGCGCCTCCCAGTGACTCCAGCCGCGCTCGCTCCGCGCAATTCCCGCGCGGACCGCTGGCTACCCGAAGGCGTTGGCGCGCGCTCTCGCTTCGGACCCTCCCAAACTGGGAAACTTTTTTTGATTCGCGGGTCGAGAGCGAGCCTCTTCTGGTCGAAGCTAAGCGGGCCGCGCACAGCTTTAATTAAAAACTAAAACTGGGGAATAATCAATGACATAAACATAACAACTCGGATGTCCGCGCGGATTTCTCGGATCGGCGCTGGGACCCCCTGGCGGCGCCTCCGGCGCCGCCCCTGGCGCGCTCCGCGCGCCATGGAGGGGGGTCCAGCGCCGATCCGAGAAGTCCGCGCGGACTTTCGACTTTGTATGTTTATGTCATTGGTTGTTCCCCTACCAAAGCAATATCACAATGTTGGAGGCTGGGAGCTCCGCTGGGTGACGGAAACCTTCCCGGCGCCTGTCGCGGAGCTGCTCCTGCAATGCCCATGGGCTTTATGGGCCCTGGGAGCCCCGTGTGAGGGCTCGGGCGTGCTCTCTGCTTCTCCTCCTGCCTCCCTCCTCCTCCTGCCTCCTCCTCCTCCTCCTCCTCCTCCTCCTTCTCCTCCCTCTCCGCCTCCTCCTGCCTCGTGCCGCCTCCTTCTTCACCTCCTCCGCCTCCTCCTCCTGCCTCGTGCCGCGCCTCCTCTCCTCCTCCTCCTCCTCCTCCTCCTCCTCCTCCTCCTCCTCCTCCTCCTCCTCCTCCTCCTCCTCCTCCTCCTCCTCCTCCTCCTCCCCCCCCCCCTTGTCTTCCTCGTCCTCCTCCTCCTCCTTCTCCTCCTCCTTCTCCTCCTCCGCCTCCTCCTCCTCCTTTGAGCTCCGAGCTGCTCACAGTGTCGAGCGAAACGATGCCGAGATGCCTTCGTCCTCCTCCGCATCCTTCTCCTCCCTCCTCCCCTGCCTCACTTTTGCTTCTCCCGGCCCTCCTCGTGGGCCCCCTCGCCTCCCTCGGTCTGGTTGCTGTGGCCCCTCGCGTGCGGCTGCGCGTTTCTCGCTGGCGAGCTCGCGGGGACGGCGTTCCCGCCGTCCCCGGGCGGGGCGCGAGGACGCAGCCTCGCTTCGCGCTGGGCGGCCCGAGCCGGAGCGGAAGTGTCTCTTCGCAAGAGGGCGGCGCGAGCCAGGCTGGAGGTGGGCCCTGGCTTGCCAGATAGCCGAATTGGTGGGCAAGTCGGCGCCGTGGCCAGTTTTGAGTGTGCCGTCCTCAACCTCGTCGTCCCCCCCGCTCGTCCTCGCCCTTCCTCATCATGTTCCCGGTCCCCCTCGGCTTCTTCTCACCCCCGCCCCCGTCATGGTCAGTAGTCATCTTTCGCATTCGCTGCATGTCTTCGTTGTCGCCCTTATTCCGTTTTTTGGCCATCTCCCGGTAACCCGCGCCGACGCATGGGTTCGAGATCCTCTATACCACGAGCGGGGCAGACCTTCTCGAGTTGCCAACTATGTCGTCTGCTCGAGGGCGCCGAAGTAGGTCAGCGAAGCGATGGCTCTTTGAAATTGGCCGACTGAAAAAGTCGCTTCCGCCGCCGCCGCTGCCGCCTCCACCGCCGCCGCCGCCTCTTCGGCCGCCGCCTCCGCCGCCGCCGCCTCTTCCGCCGCCGCCTCCGCCGTCGTCGTCGTTGTCCGTCGTCGTCGTCGTCGTCGTCGTCGTCGTCGTCGTCGTCGTCGTCGTCGTCGTCGTCGTCGTCGTCGTCCTCGACCATCGTCGTCGTCGTCGTCGTCGTCGTCGTCGTCGTCGTCGTCGTCGTCGTCGTCGTCGTCGTCGTCGTCGTCGTCGTCCGCGACCGTCGTCGTCGTCGTCGTCGTCGTCGTCGTCGTCGTCGTCGTCGTCATCGTCGTCGTCGTCGTCGTCGTCGTCGTCGTTGCCCTCCGCGCCGCCACCGGGGGCAGGACGTGGGCCAGCACAGTGGCCAGAGCCATGGCAGCGGAGCGGCGGCCCCGTCTCTCCCAGGGGGGGTCGTGCACCCGTGTCGTCCACGTGGTCCTCCTTGTTGCTTCTTGTGCTCCTCCTGCTCCTCGTGCTCCTCCTGCTCCTCCTGCTCTTCTTTCTTCTCCTCCTCGTCCTTCGTCCCTCCTCCACCTCCTCCTGCTCCTCCTCGTCCGTCGTTCCTCGTACTCCTCCTCCTCCTCCTCCTCCTCCTCCTCCTCCTCCTCCTCCTCCTCCTCCCCCTCCTCCTCCTCATCCTGCTCCTGCTCCTCCTCCTCCCCTCCTCTTCTTCCTCCTCCTCGTCATTCGTCCCGCCTCTCCCTCCTCCTCCTCCTCCTCCTCCTCCTCCTCCTCCTCCTCCTCCTCCTCCTCCTCCTCCTCCTCCTCCCTCGTCCCTCCTCCCCCTCCTCCTCCCCCTCCTCCTGCTCATCCGTTTTACTTTGGCCAAACATCAGCATCATGCCTGCTGCTGCTGCTGCTCCTCCTCCGTCTCCTCCTCCTCCTGCTCCTTCTCTATCTCCTCCTCCTCCTGCTCCTCCTCCTCCTCCTCCTCTCTGCGCCGCGCCGCCGGCCTGCGCGCGCCCGCCGCCCTGGCAGCAAGGTGACACCCAGGAGCGGCCAGCGGAGGCTTCTCCCCCCTTCGGCCCGGGTCCGGGGGGCCCGCAGGCCCGCAGGGCCCCGAGGGGCTTCGAGAGGCCACCCCGGAGAGCGCCCGCGCGGGCCCCCTGGTCTGAATACGAGAGCTCGTCCTCACGATCGTTCGCGCTGGTGACGATGAGGAAGAGCGAGAGAAAGTATGTGTCGATGTCAATTATCTTGATAATTGTCGGAGGACACCTTTTGTCCACGATATGAACGGCCGCGCTGTAGTCTGCGCGATCTGCCTGGCACGGCCAGGCTCTGTCAGAAAGAGTCCCGCCCTCCCTCGCCTTGAGCCGAGGGTGGCGGTGGCACGGACAGGGCAGACGGGCAGGAGACAGCTGCTGCTCAAGCTTGCTCCTGCGTATCTTTCAGACAGGGGGAAAAAGGTTCTGCCCTGTACCGTGCGCGCAGGCAATCTCTGCGCTCCGTGTGTGCTGCTGGACGAACTTCTGATGGTCCTCGATCTCCTGCTGCAACTTCTGGATCATGATCAGGGATTCGGAGGCCGAGAACCCAGTAGATGTCGTCGAGCTGGAAGGGTTCCCTTCCATGCTGGCTGGTGGTTGTGTCTGGCGTGCCAACCTACGCTCCTCGAGTACCTGACGAGCTGAGGCCGGGTCGGTCGGGTCCGTCTCGTCGAAGATGCCCTTGCCAAGAGCTGCCCGCTTGCGAGCGCTCATGAACTGCTCGTCGTAGATAAGGCGCCACTGCTGCTTCTCGAGGAAGGCCCGGACCACTCCGAATGCCTGCCAGCTTGCCTTGGTTAGACCGTCAGCGATCTGTGCGTGTGAGTGAACCCAGCGCACGACCGCTTGACCCTCGTCCAAGGCATTGCGGAGAGCCAAAGCCTCGATGGCTGTCCTCCGCTCTTCCAGTCCCAGTCCCGCCGACTGAGATCGCACCACGCCATCGTAGAAGGCCTTGCAGTCCGTCACCAGGATGGCTGGTAATCGTCGTAGTGCTGCTGCGGCATCTTGCAGTGGAGACATATTGTGTAGAAGTTCGGCGAGTACCAGTCGCACCATGCTCTGTTCGCCTTCGGCGTCGCCGGCTTCCTGCACCTCCGCCGCCAGGCTTGACCGAGCCACGCGGCGCAGCTTCTTGGAGCCCCAGTCGAGGACCGTGAACTCGGAGAGCTTCCCGTCCATGGCCGCCTTGGAGGATATAGCGGTGATATGACCACCCTGAGAGTGTCCGTCCGGGCGGCTGGCCCAGGCTGCGTCGCACCAGGTGAAGATGGCGAGGTCGTCCAGGGCGTGCCGGTAGATCCTGATCCCCATGTGGCGGCTCTGCTTGACGAGCTTGACGATGTTGTTAGCAGCCGTGAAGAGGTTGTGAGTACCTGCTGGTATCTTCATCTGGAGGTCGGCTACCCACAATAAGAGAAATGGCATGGTATTCACGCCAAGCCAGTAGATCTCGCCGCAGAACGCCCTGAGCACCGTCTTGTCAGAGTCCTTGAGGCTGTCGGTGGTCCGATGCTTACTGCCGCTGGCCGCCTTGACCTCTTTGATCTTGTCGATGTACGACTTCTGGTGTAGGAAGAAGCCCTGCTCGCTCTCCTCGATGGTGACGCCGCGCTGTTCGAGAGAGGTGAGCCCGTCATTCATGTCCTCCCAGGTGCCCCACTTGTAGAGCCCTCGGATCTGCTTGACCATGTCCTGCCACTCAGGGTGGGAGGTATCCCCTGCCATGATGAAGTCGTCGACGTGGGCCATGGTCATACCGATGAGCATACCCGTCCGGGAACATCGTGCTTTCCAGAGACAGGGCTCCAACTCGCAGGCTTGGAGTCGAAGTTTCGCAAAGTCGTGCTTGACCGTCTCCCACCAGTGCCGGGGCGCCTCGCCGATCCCATATCCAGGCTTCACGACCTGGAGGATTTCCCCTTCCTGCACGTGGAAGGCCTTTCTGAGGACGGCATCTGGCTCGATGAAGAGGTCCTTGTCGAGGTCGTGGGCCTGCAGAAAGGCGGAGGTGACGTCGCCCTTGATGAGCTTCCAGCGGTTCGCGGCGGCCACTGTTAGCATCACGTGACGGGCGCGCCGAGACGCGGTGGGGCTGGCTGTCGGCTCCTGTCCTAGGTCCTTCGTCTGGTAGCCGAGGAGGACGAGCCGGGCCTTCGCCTTCCCATCGGACTTGCGGGTGAAGAGCCACCTTGCCCGGATGACGTCCGCCGCGTCCTTTACCCGAGATGTCGGGACAGCGCGGAGTCCCTGATGCTGGACCCAGTTGTTCGTCTCCTTGGCGATGGCTGCCTCGAACTCCTCACGCTCGGTGGCGTTCATCTTGGACCAGGTCAGCTCCACCTTGTCCTTCCGGCGCTGGTTGACGACGAAGCTGTCCAGGATGTGGTTCATCAAACCTCGGCGTCCGTCTGGAGTGGGGTTCTCGTCCTGCAAGTACTCAAAGTAGACGGTCTGCTGTTCGTCGGTGCCGAGGGTGATGTCCAGCTTGTCCTTGAAGAGGTCGACCAGGTGGTTGCTGTCGAACAGCGCGTCGGCCATCTCCTCGTCTGCACCTTTCTGTCGCTTCTCCGGCGGTACGTACAGATCGAGCTCTGGTCCGCGGTGTGACATGCGCCACCGAGGTCTCGACTCGCCTCGGGATGCGGCACCGGCCGCCGATGAGGTCGAGGTCGCGGGAGGCGGACGCGATGCTGTTCGAGACTCCGTCCTGACTGCCGCTGAGGTAGGTGCTTTCCCTGGCGTTCGTGATGGGGCTGCTGACCGGTCAGCTGCACGAGCTGGTGGTGACCGAGACCGTCGGACATCTGGTTCACTCGGTTCCACTTCAGGTTGCGTCGCTGAGCTTGGTGTTGGTGGCCTGGAGGAGTCAGGGGCCCCGGGTGTGTCGTTGTCGGCGCCCGAGGGGAGTCCCGCCTCGCTGTTGTTCTCGAGAGTCTGGCCCTCGGTCGCGGGGATCGCCATCGTCGGCTGCGGTGGATGCTCGTATTCTCGGAGGTCTGGAGGATTTTGTCCGAGAAGGTCTTCATAGGTACCGCCCTTGGCTGTCTCCAAGATCTCCGCCATGGTCTTGCCAAGGTTGCTCTGCCGCTGCAATTCGACGATCATCTTCTCTGCCTCCGAGGCGACGCGCAGCTGCTCCGGGGCGCACCTGATGAGCACGCTCCCGTGGGAGATCCAGATGACCGAGGTCGGACGGGTGCGCCCGTCCACGTGTCGTTTCTCCTGAGCAAGGACACGAGCAGGGCCGTGCCATCCGCCCTTCTTCCCAGGGCGAGGGTCAAGGCCTTTCCCTTTGCGCCAGAAGTAGACGAGGTCCCCCGGATTCCAGGTCTGATAGATCCGGTTGCGGGCCTGTTCGGCGTGTCGCCGACGCTCAGCATACTCTACTTCCAGGAAGCTTTTGCGCGCGAGGAGGCGCCTCTGCTCCTGAGTCTCCCCGGTGTCCCCGTCAATGATGGCGAACGGGTTGCTCGAGGCCGGCATCCCAGAGACGCCCATCACGTGCTCGAACGGGGAGTGGTTGCCGACCTTGTCCATGGTGTTGATCGCGCTCACGGCCCAGGACACCAACTCCTCGACCGGGCAGTCGGGGTCCAGCGTTGCCAGCTTCGTCATCAATCGCTTGAACAGCTGGATGCGCCTCTCGACCTTGCCCATCAGCCAGTGGGCCTCGCCCGGGGCAATCCACAGCTCGATGCCGCGGTCCGAACACCACCTGGCCACTGCTTGTGACCGATGACAGCCTTCGGGGTCTAAACGGAGAAGGCTGGGGCGGCGGTAATGCCCGCACCAGTCATTCCATGTTGAAATCACCTCCTGAGTCGATCTGTTACCATTGCGCTCTCCCTTCTGTCCATGATAGGTGACACTGGTGAGCCCGGATCCCTCATCGATATTCAACGTCATCAGGAAAGAGTCTTGCTTCGGCGAGAGCCACTCGAGCCCGTCGGAGGCCAGCGCCTCTAGGGCGCCTGGCAACTCGATGCCCGAGGCGACCCTGGCGGCTTTTGGTAGTTGTCCCGCATGGCATGCGTGACACTGGAGACGAAGAGCTGCTCGGAGGGCCTGTAGAGGTGCTCCCGATGCCTTGAGGATCTTGTACAGCGTCTTGTTGCTCGGGTGGCCGAGGTTGCGGTGGAGCCGCGTCAGCCGTTGCTCTATCTCCAGCTCCTCCTTCTTGGTCGGTGTCTCGGAGATGCCCAGGCCCTTCATGACCGACTCGTCGTCCATGGCCTCGGGGTTATCCTGCAAGAGGTCCTCGTCGAGGGTCTCCTCCATCTCCTCTTCAGCGTCTTCTGGGATCTGTTCCAAGCTGGTGAAGATCTCCTTGCCGTACCTCGCGCTGGTGTTCGTCTTCAGGATATGCTTTGCCCAGGCCTTACACAGTGCTGGTGGGTAAAAGGCCGTCTGGGCCACCACCTGTCCGTCCTCGATGGGGCGGTGTGTGTGGTTGTCGCCCCTGCCAGGGCGGTTGGAGCACGTCCTGCCGAGCTTAGCGCCGAACTCCGGGTCTGTCGATCATATGCGCCATGCCTTCCTCATCAGCAGGCCGGAACGATCTTCGCGAAGTCCATGCGCACAGCCATGGATGATCGTCTCGTGCATCTGGTCGCGCATCGCCTTGATCGAGGGCGACCTGGTCCAGCTTCGGCTGGCAGCTGGCTGTTCGAGCTCGGTGTGGCAGTCGTGAATCTTCTTCGAGTCTTCCCAGAGGCTCTTGCAGTTCCGCTGGATCCGTCGGGCCTTGCGCACCTTCGCCAGATACGTGGCCTTCTGCTGAGCTGTCTTCTGGTTGAGATTCTGGATCGGGCAGTCTGCTGTACATGGCGGGCTGAGAACCAAGCGGCGCGGTCGGAGTCGTCGGAGAAGGTGAAGTGCGCGTCGAAGCCCGGTTGCCGTTCCCATGTCGATCCCATTGAAGAGGCCGCACCTGAACACTTTGCCTCCCTGATTCTGCACGGCCTTGCTGAGGCTCGAGTCCTCCGGACAGCACACCTCCATCAGGTCGATGCGGTAGGGCCTGCCGAGCTCCGTCAGGTCCTCGGCGATGGTCTGGTAGATCTCGTCCAGGACCTTGTCGTGGCTCTCGTAGAACATCTTGAGATCCTGGTCGTCGAGATGCTTCAGCGTTTCCTCTTCGAGTCCATCTCCGGCAGTTCCGAGTCGTCGAGCATTTCCGGAGTGAACTTCCAGCCCCCCTGCACCTCCGGGGAGTTCAGCTTGTAGGACAGGCGCCGCCAGCGTAGAGCCACTGCCTGCTCCCGGATGGTCACCTCCGTCGCCTTCGTACACGTGTGGCTCTTGCCTCCGCGGCAGCTGCACCCCCGAATCTTCTTCCCGAGGGTCCCGCAGCAAGAGCACGCGGGCTTCGGAGGTCTCGTCACTGGCTGAGCCCCCGCTGGGCTCGGTGGGGCGCTGCTGGCTGTCATTGTTGATGCCGCTCCTGGTGTCCCGGGTGCTCCCTGCTGTGGGGTCCTGAGGCACTGGTGGCTCTTGCCCCCGAAGCAGCTGCACCTGCGTTTGGTCTTCCCCCGAGCTCCGCAGCAGCCGCCCTTCCCTGCGGTGTTGTACCACTTCGCTGGTGGAGCCGGAATAGCTGGTGTTGTTGCTGATGCTGGCGTCGGGGTCGCTGGAGCCGAAGTTGTCTATCCCCTCGTGCGGGGGCGGCTTCACTCGGGGCGGGCCGCAGGCACAGGTGGTGGCTGTTGCTCCGAGGATTGCCCAGCCAAAGAACCGTCGCTGCATGTCATCCAAGCGGCCAGTGGCGGCCTGGGAAGAATATGGAGGTCGTGAGAGACTGCTGGCTGTGGCTATTGCCGAGTTGATGAACTGAGCCGAAGGTGGCTGCGAACAGCATGATGATGAACACCGATGGTATTGTGCTGGCTCATCGCTTTGCTTCTCCATATTTTGATCCTGAGGCTTGCTTGCTAACGGTCCTCTTGACTGTGGTGATGTCCCGATCGACGGTGATGATGAAGAGAGCCGGTCGGATGACCTGACCGTCCGTCCGAACGAAATCGAGGTTTCCGTCGCTCGAGCCGATCCGCTCCGTGTCGCAGTTTCCGTCGCTCTGGTAGGTGTCCGCGCCGCCGAGGTTTCCGTCGCTCTGGTAGGTGTTTCGAACTCGCGGTGACCGAGTCGGTGTGGCCCCCCCGATGATGAAGTTGACAATCGAGATAACTTCTCTTCTGCTGCCATCATCAGGGGGCGCTGTCCCTAGCGTACCGCAGGGCAGCAGCTGCACGGAGCGGCCTCCTCGGGCAGCTCCTCGACCAGAACATCGGGTGCCGTCGCTTCGGACGTCAGGCACCCGGCACTCGGCAAGGAAAGCGGCACCTCCTTCCACCACTGCGGCGTCGTCAGGTTGACGGCCAGATGGTTGCTCGAGAGGCGCTCGCAGAAGAACACCTTGTTGCCCATGGTCGGAAGGCCGATCCAGTTCCGGCCGCAGTCGACCACAACCTTCAGCGAGTCAGTCAGAATGTCCATGCCCAGGAGGATCGGCACGCGGTTCGGCATCACCGACAGCTTGACCTCGGTCAGGTGTCCGCCGAGGAACACGTTCCCCTTCGCCGTGCCCATCGAGCTCTTCTGGAGGCCGTCGCCGAAGGTGAATGAGCACTCGTCCTGTGTCGTCTCGAACTCCTGGCCGTGCTGGTCCAGCATCTCGTACATGAGGTTCTCGACGCTCTCGAGGCCGCCGAGGCTCTTCGTGGCCCCGATGTCGAGGATCGCCCAGATGCCGTCGCGCTCCAGGAGGTAGAGGTACTCGTCGAGGGCGGACAGGACGAAGCCGTTGTGAGTAGTCCCGCGAGCTCCATCTCTCGTATTGTCTTTCTTGAACCTCTCGTTGCAGTCCGCCGCTCGGTGACCATATTCGCCGCACGCGATGCACTTCATCTTGGACATGTCACGTCCCTTGCCCGTGTCGAAGCGAGCGCGGCCTCGACCGTTCTTGCCCCGGCCACGCTGGAAACCTCGTCCCGAGTTCGGAGGCGGTGCCACACGATCGGGGTCCTTGAGCGACACGACCGGGTAGTAGTCGCGGGATACTCGAAGCCGTCGGATCAGGTCGCGAGCGTCCTTGAAGCTCCGGCCCACCTGCTTGAACTCTGCGAACACCTCGTTGTCCGCTGGGTTGTCGTCAGCTGGCTCTTCATCTTCATCCTCTTCAGCGAGGGTGATCAGCTGCTCGACAACCTCTGTGTAATCAATATCTTCTCCACCAGTCTCGTCCTCAACGTCGTCGACGTGCGTGTCCTCATAGAAGGCCTTACGGTGCTGCTTGCCGTCGAGCTCCGCCAGCGCCTCCGCCGGGAAACGCGTGAGCAAGGCCTTGTATGTCTTGCCGAAGTTGAGGTCGCCACCTGCCGTGGCGGTGATCTCTCCACGTTGAACAGGGGATAGCTTGGACTTCCGAAGGAACCACCATGTCCGAAGAGGCTTCGCAATCACTTCCGTCACGCTTGAATCAATGACTTGAAGCTGCGCCAACAGCTCACGCTCCTTCTTCTCAAATCTGGCGGTCCAGTCTTGGAAGGTCTCGCCTGAGTTCCGGCTGACCTTCAAGAAGAACTCCTCCGCGAGTAGGCCCGTGTCGTTCAGGCTGGTGAAGTCCAGCTTCTCCAATACGTACTGAAACACTTTGTTCCAACCAATCAAAACGCCATCCTTGTCGATCTCGTCGACCGTGTCGATGTCCGGGCAGCTCTCCACCGTCGTCCGGACTCGCGCCCCGAGGGCGCGCACCAGCTGCGGGCCGCACACGTAGCGCTCCGCAGTCTTGATGCTCTTGGTAAACATGGAGACCTCAAACCTGTAGCTCGTCAACTTGTCAGCCTCGCCATTCCATGAGGGGACGTCGACGCGCGTCGTAGGTGGCCCGCTGGCGGCCGTAGTCGCCATTCAGGCCGAGACCGGTGGGAGCCCGTGGTTGTCGGAGACCACAGGCTCCGCTACCAATCTGAATACGAGAGCTCGTCCTCACGATCGTTCACGCTGGTGACGATGAGGAAGAGCGAGAGAAAGTATGTGTCGATGTCAATTATCTTGATAATTGTCGGAGGACACCTTTTGTCCACGATATGAACGGCCGCGCTGTAGTCTGCGCGATCTGCCTGGCACGGCCAGGCTCTGTCAGAAAGAGTCCCGCCCTCCCTCGCCTTGAGCCGAGGGTGGCGGTGGCACGGACAGGGCAGACGGGCAGGAGACAGCTGCTGCTCAAGCTTGCCCCTGCGTATCTTTCAGACCTGGGGATCACACGGGGCGCTCCGGGCAGGGCCCGGCCTGCGGCGCAGCTCGCTCTCGGCGGAAGCCGCCAGGAGGCCGGCCGGGAGCGGGCGCCAGCAGAGCGGCGGCCGGGGCCGGGCGGCAGCGCGCGGGAGGTCGGCGGCGTGCGGCGGCGTGCGGCGGCGGGTCGGGCGTCAGCATTGTTGAGCTCACGGTTTCCGGAATCGGTCACCTGGGGCCGGGCGAGATCGGGGCGGCGGTTGCACGTTCTCTTCCACCATCTCCTCTGTGGGTCCCTGCTCGAGAAAGTTGCACCCATCAGGGCGTCGGGTGCGAACCCCCTCGTCGCAGGATTGGGCTCGACTTCATTCAGTCTAGAGCAGGATCTCGGAGCTCGAGGGACGGGGCTCCATGGGGCGTGCCCACTCCCTCTCCCTTCTCCCCCGCGTTCGCCGCCGATCGATGTTGTCCCCTTTCCCCAGCTGGTTCCCCCCAGACCGTCCCGCTCTCGGGGCGCAGGGGACGGGGGCCAGTGCAATCGGGGTCAGTCAGAGCGCCCGATGTTGCAGGATCCTGCGGGGCCAGGGGTGCACCGACGCAGGCGCCTGGCTGTTCCGGGTGTGGCTGGACCCAGGTCAGTAGGTCCCCGAGGAGTGCGCCGCATCGATCGCCGAGATGACTTTCGGGCGTTGCCGGGTTAGATCGGGGTCAGAGGCGCATCACGCCGCCTTCTTGGTGGGCTTGGCTGCCCAGGGAGGTCCAACGCTCCGACAAGAATCGGTGCTGTCAGAGGTGGCCTTGGCCCGAAGTGGCCCCCGCTTCTCTGGGGCGCCCCTGTGGACCTCCAGGGTCGGGGGCGCCCACTCGCGAGGGCCAGGGGGCTCCGAGGGGGTTCAGAACGGCGCTGGAAGCTGGGGGCATCTTGGGGCCAGGACCACCTCTGACCCTCCGACAAAATTTGGAGCGGAGGGTTTTTCGCAGTTTTCGACCTCCGGGGGCCCTCGCCGGTCCTCGGGGCCGTCAATCAAAGCGATTCAGGACGAAAAACTGGCCCTGAGGAATTGGTCCAGACTTCTGGGGCCCACACATCGAAAACATTGGAGCAGCCGGTTTGGCAATTGGCAACCTCCGTCGCCGATGCATCCCCGATGCATCCCCGATGCATCGGCTGTGCGGCGCGATGCTCCGATCCCACTTGAGCGACGAAGAACATCCACTGCGTCGGCACTCGCGCGCGTAAGCTGACCGCGTGGGCTCGCGCGTGAGCGCCCCCTCTTGTGGCACCGCGTAGAGGCGGCCTGTTTTGGCCACCGCGGCGACCTGACGCGCGCGTCAGGTCGCTTGCCGCAAGATCCCTTTTCCTTCGTCGCACATTTTTGGCTGCGGGCCGAGGGGTGAAGCTTCGAGGGGGCAGGCCTCCTCAGAAGGCGGCGGGGCTTCGGACCAGGCCCAGGGAGCTCCCCAGAAGGCTGGAGGCCCTCTGAGCCTTCTGAGAAGGCCCGCCCCCTCTGCCTTCCCCCCTGGGTGCGCCGCCGAAGAGCTCTTTTCCTCACGATGCAACTCTTGAGAGGTTAGATTCAGCATCGGCGCTCGTACATCCGTGGTGGAAAGCCGACCCAATCCGGCTCTGTCCGATGAATCCCGCTAGATCCAGCTCAATCTGGCTTGATCCTGGATTTTCTTCGGGCTAGTCCCGCCCAGTGGTCCACTATCCAGATGTCCAGCTGCTCCAGTTTTTCGATGCGTGGGCCCCAGATGTCTGGACCACTTCCCTTCTCGTCCCGAGTCGTTTTTGGACGGTGGCTAGGCCTGGCGAGGCCCCCCGGAGGCCGAACACTGCGAAAAACCCTCCGCTCCGATTCTTGTCGGAGCGTCAGAGGCGGTCCTGGCCCCAAGATGCCCCCAGCTTCCCGCGCCGTTCTGGACCCCCTCGGCAGCCCCCTGGCCCTCGCGAGTGGGCGCCCCCGACCCTGGAGGTCCACATGGGGCGCCCCAGAGAAGCGGGGGCCACTTCGGGCCAAGGCCACCTCTCTGGCAGCTCCGATTCTTGTCGGAGCGCTGGACCTCCCTGGGCAGCCAAGCCCACCAAGAGGGCGGCGGGGCTCCTTAGAAGCCCTCCGGCCCTCGCAGCCTTTGAGCGGGCCCAGGCCCCCCTCGGCCTCCTCCCCCCCCCGCGGCGCCGCCGCCGACCTCCTGCCTGTGCCCTGCCTCGCACCTGCGCCCCTGGTCGCTTCCTTTCCGACTCCTCGCCGGGAGGTTTCTGGGGGCCGTCGGGTCGGAGGGTGTCACCTGCACACCTGCACCCCACGAGGTCCGACGCCCCGACAACATGTGGAGCGGAGGGTTTTTGGCAGTTTTCGGCCTCGGGGGGCCCTCGTTGGGCCTCGGGACAGTCCAACAACGACTCGGGACGAGAAGCTGGCCCTGGGGAAGTGGTCCAGACCTCCAGGGCTCACGCATGGACAAAATTGGAGCCGCCGGTCTGGGCCGATCCTGTCCAGGCGGATCCCGGGTCTTGGGTCGGTGTGTGCGCACTCCTTGCTTGGGCAGGAAGGCACACACATATATATATATATATATGTATATATTTGTATATGTATCTATATATATATATATATATATATGTATTCCGATCCCGTGCCCAGAAGCAGCCTGGCCAGGATCGGTTCAGGTGTGTGGTTGGCGTCCTCCCATGGGAGGCGAGAGCAGCATCCCCAAGTGCGCGCGAAAGCCTCGATGCCTCCCGCCCTCCTCCTTCCGTGCTCTTCCTGCACCTGCCGACTGCTGGCGCGCCGCGCTCTCGTAAGGCCGTTCTTCTGGACGTATGTCGGCGCCTTGCCTGACCTGGCCTCCCTTTCCTCCCCACGAGGAGGTCTGGAGGCCCTGGGGGCCAAGGTAAGATCCCAGAGTGCTCATGAAAGCCTCGCTGCCCCTCGCCCTCCTCCCTCTTTCGGCGGCGAGCTAGGGGGGGAAGCGAGAAGGAGAAGGCCTTCCCAGAAGGCTGCAGGGCTGCTCAGAAGCCCTCGCGCCTTCTGAGAAGCTTTCCGTGTCTTCGGGAAAGGCTTGAACTAATTCTCAGAAGGCCAGAGGACTCCCGAACCTTTGAGAAGACCCGCCCCTTCTCACTTCCCCCCTGGGCTCGCCGCCGACTCTTTCTTCCGTTCCATTCCGTAGTGGCTTGGAACGTGCCCGCCTGTGGAGGAAATCGTGCACGGGAAGAGGGGACAGGTGTGGGATCCTACTCGGAAGCGGGTGCCATCTCTCCGGAAGAGCGCCTCGGCCACAGCCTCATTTCGAAGGAGGAAGAGAGGTAGATTGGGAGACTGGAGGGTTTCTCCGAATGGCTTAGTCGACCCGTCCTCCTCCTTCTTCTCCTACTCCTCCTGCTCCTCCTGCTGCTCCTCCTCCTCCTCCTCCTCCTCCTCCATCTCCTCCTCCCCCTCCCCCTCCTCATCCTCTTCCCCTCCTCCTCCTCCTCCTCCTCCTCCTTTCCCTCACACGCACTCACTCACCCCATGGCGCAGGCCACGGTGTCCTACACCTCCTCGCGCGATCGCGGCCGCCGCGCGCGCGCGGCGCCGCGACCGCAGATCCACTACGGGCCAGGGCTCCGAGGGGGCCCCGGGACAAGAGAGAGGGCTCGAAGGACCTGGAGGGAAGATGACGCGGGGACCCAGAGCCCAAAACACCCACGAGCGCCGAGAGCCCAAGAGGGGCCCAGGCAGGGCCCGCCGCCAGAGGGAGGGAGGGACGCCTTGGAGGGCGCGGAGGAAGAGATGCGGGGGACCCCAAGGGCCTGCGAGGACGAGGGGGTGGGGGGGGGAGGGGCCTCGAGGGCCAGGAAGAGGAGGGGGTGGCCACAGGCCGAACGAGACTCCGCTCCGAGCCAGAGCACCATCGCGCCACCGCCCATATGGCCAGTCGTCAGCCTCCGGCCTATCCTGCAGGTTCGGGCGGTGGCGAGGCGTGCTCGGCTTCTCTGCTCGGCGCCCTCAGCCCCCCAATGGAGAAAGAAGACTCCAGAGGTCGCAGAGAATCAGAAAGGTCCGAAGGGGGGGGGGGCTGAGGGGGCGCGGCCTGGAGCAAACTACGGGCCGCAGCCCTGGGCCCCTCGGGCCTCGCGCGCCCGCGCGGCCGCCCCGCTCAGCCGCGGGCAGCTCCCTCGGCGGCGCCGCGGCGCGGGCGGGCGGGGGCGGCTGCCTGCTCAGCTCTTCGGCCGCCTCTAGCGTCGCCTGGGGCCTGTGCCCATGAGCGTTCGCTGCTCATCCTCAACTGTCGCCGCCTCGGCGCCTAGCTCAGAATCGTCCATACCTGAATCGTCCCGCTCGGACTGGACTCCGAAATGATGCTTCCACAAGCGCGAAGCCTCGGAGCCGTAGGTGTCGAATGACGAACAATTGCTGGAGCCGCTCTGCCGCGACGGCTGCCGGCTCGCAGGGTCTGCCACTGCCTGCCTTCTCGCATGGATGCCACTGCTTGCCTTCTCGCACGGGCTTGTAATTGATTCCGCACCACTGCCCGTCCGCACTCCAGCCGATGACGTCTGGACTCTCGCTGGTGGTCTGACCGCGCTGGACTGTTTATTATTGTGTCTTTCGCTTTGCGCACGCTCTGGTTCTGCTGTCGCTTCGCGCACGCTCTGGCTCTGGTTTGTGTTTACGCCCTTCCGCCATTTGCCGTCGGCGAGGCTCCAGGCCGTCGGCGGAGATTTCTCGCATGTGGCTGATGATGCTGCCGACTGTGATCCCGCGGGGGCGCCCCTGCTGGCTGGCGCTGTCGTGTCCTCTCGCGCGGACTCCGCTACTGGTACGAAGACGGCCGCGTCAGGCCGCAGCGCAGATCTATAGCCAGAGCTGCCACTGCCTGCAATCTCGCGTTGGTGGCCACTGCCTGTCTGTTTCCTCGCACGGGCCAGTAGCTGGGACCGCAGTGCTGCCCTCTCGCAAGAACCGCCAGCGACTACCTGCTGGCACGGGCTGCCACTGCTCGCTGCCACTGCCGTTTCCTCTCGCACTCACTTGCTGTAGTTGATGGTGTCGGGCTCCAGCTTCACTTGCCCCCTGTCGCGGACCCCGATCCCTGCGCTGTTCCCCACGGGCGTGTTAGTGACTAGGTCAGCGATTTCGGGCTCCAGATTCGCCTCTGCCTTCTCGCAGGGTGGTGTCTGCGGTAGCTGCCACTGCCTGCCCTCGCAAGCGCCGATCCCTGTACTGTAGCTGATGACGTCGGGCTCTGGCTGCGCCTTCCGCTCCTCGCCGTTTGGAGGTAGAGAGGCCACGCCTTGCTCGCTGTAGCCTTGCTGCCACTGCTGCCTTCTCTCCGTTGCTGCCCGCTCTCGTCCTGTTGCCACTGCTCTCGGTACTTACTGCCAGGGCTGCCCATGGTCGCACGCCAGAGATCGCACATGCGTGACCCGACCTACAGCTGATGACGTCTGGACTCCGAGCCTCGCACCATTACCCATTACGGTTGCTTCTTCACGCGCACGCATGTCCCAGCTTGTAGCTGATGGCGTTTGGGCTCCTATCCCCGCACCGCTGCCTGCAGACACCGTCTCTTCTCTCACGATTGTGTCCCAGCACGCAACTGATGAGGTCAGGGCTCCCGTCCTCGAGCCAGTGCTCGCTGCCAATGCAGTCTCTGTTCGCACGCGGAAGTCCCGGCCTGCAGTTGCTCGTCGCACGCTCTGGTTTTGGCCTGCGTCTTCGCCCCTCGCACGCTCTACTGCCCCACTGCTGCCACTGCTATCGCTAGTGATTGTTGCCGCTGCCGCTTCTGTCCGCTGCCACTGCCCATCTTTTGACGGATGGAACGAGAAGATTAACGTTGTGCCGCACACGCACTGCCTTTCAGAACTGTTGGCGTCGGGTTCCTGTCCCCCTCGCCACCGAGTGGTGTCGGCTGGTCTTGTGATGCGGGAGTGGGGAAGACACGTCTCCGCTCCGTGACCTGACCTGGGAAAAAAAGCGGGGCATCTTTTCGCAAACGGGAGCGAGGTGGGCGTGGCTCCCATACATGACCGCACGCGGCCTTCCACAGCAGGCCGACGTCGTAGGGGTCGCACCTTTTCCTCCAGGTTCTCGCTGCATATTCGAGTCGGCCCACTGCTTTCTTCACAGCAGCGGGCGACCTCCACGCAGGACGCGTGGGTACTGTCTCGCAACCAACGTTCTTCATGGAAAGTCAAACGTCAATTGCGGCGCCTCCTGGGAAGCGCGCGCATGAGCCCGACCCCGAGGGCGGCCCGCCCGATCGCCTGATCGCGGTCCGATCGCGGGCCCTCCCCCGAGAGGTCATGGCTTCCTCCTCCTCCTCCTCCTCCTCCTCCTCCTCCTCCTCCTCCTCGGGTCGCCTACGGCCCCAGGGGAAACCGTGCAGGTGAGACCTGCCTGCCGATCCTTCAGGTATCCTTCCCTTCTCTCCCCGCCCCGTGCCGACGGCCAGCGCGAGCGGCGCGCACGCACGGGGGGGGCACCCGGAAGACCTCCCCCATCGCCCCAGGCGGCTGGAGGTGCCGGCGCGGGAGGGATGCCGGGGGGCCAGATGGGCGCCGAGGCCGCCTCGCACCCTGCCGTCGTCGTCGTCGTCATCGCCGCCGTCGTCGTCGTCCTGGTGATGTCCGGCGTCGTCGTCGTCGTCGTCGTCGTCGCTGCCGTCGTCGTCGTCGTCGTCGTCGTCGTCGTCGTCGTCGTCGTCGTCGTCGTCGTCGTCGTCGTCGTCGTCAGGTCGTCGTCGTCGTCGTCGTCGTCGTCGTCGTCGTCGTCGTCGTCGTCGTGGTCGTGGTCGTTGTCGTGGCCGTCGTCGTGATCGTAGTCGCGGTCGTGTTCGTGGCCGTTGTCGTCGTGGTCTTGGTCGCGGTCGCGGTGGTGGTCGTGCGTGGCCGTGGTCGTGGTTGTGGGCGTGGTCGTGGTGGTGGTTGTGCTTGTATTTGCGATGGTGTCGGGCGTCGTCGAGGATGGGAAATCGAGGTTTTCAGGGGTTCCCCCTCCCATTCTAAGGTGTTTTGGGTGCTCGTGGATCGTAGAGGGTTGTACGGGGTCCCATGAGGGAGGAGGAGGAGGCGGCTAAGGATGTGGTTCACGAGCAGAAATCAGGATCACGGGACGAAATAGCCATGATAACAGTGCGGTTCATGTTCAAACGAGAAGAACATTCACAATACCAATCATGTTGTGACGACCAGCGCGACCAAACATTGCACCAATCATTGCATGTCTGCTGCTGATGCAAGCAATCATCAGAGTACCCAGCATAATTTTACCAACGCGAAGACGAAGTATACTTATATAGATACTGAAATTGGGAAGGCCTTGCGGTTGGCGCCGCCGACCCTGACGGGGAACGACGACGTTGGCGGGGGCCGACGATGACGCTGACGTCCTGTTGTCATGCCAGTATTCAGACAGTAGGAAGACTCGGAGGAGAAATGTGAGGAGAGCGAGGAGCGAGGAGCGAGGAGGAGCTGGCGGATCAGGGCCCAACGAGCCAGGCGTACGGATTCCGAAGGATTTCAAATTATTCCCAAGGGTTCCCAGGATTTCCTCTGGATGCCCAAGGGTTCCTCAGGATTTTCTAAATGATTTCCTGACGATTCCAAGGGATTCCTACGGATTCTGAACCATTTCGTACAGATCTCAAGGACTCCTTCGCGGGGGCCGACGAGACCGAGGTACGGAATCTCGAGGAGTCTTGAGGGAGGGGGGCCAACTGGCCGAGCGTGCGGACTCCCAAGGATTCATTTGGGCTCTTGAGGATTTCCTCGATTCCCGAATGACTCGTCGGGATTTCGCATTAGGAAGCATCTCCTGAGAATTTCGGGAGGATCTCCTTAGGAAAGCATTTCATCCCCGAGGAGTGGGAACTCCTCAGGAATCCTCAGCGGGAGCCAAACAGGCCCGGCGCACGGGGTCCCAATGTGCTTGCTCGGCGTGCGTGTCCAAACGGCCCGGCGTTACTTAGTAGCGGCAGTAGTGGGGGTGGTAGCGGCAGTAGCGGTGGTGGCTTCAAGAGCTTATGATTGTTCAGGGGTCCAGCGCAAAAGACCACCCTCCTTCCAGCGAAGCTCCCCCATGAGGTGCGTCCCTGCTCTTTCTGAGCTGCTCGGCCAGCCGCTCCGGCCCTTCGACGCAGCGTCTGCGCAGCGGGGCCTCGACGGGATGGGCGGGCACGGCCGTGCCCGCTGCGCCTGGCGGCCCCGGCGCCCAGCTCCGTGTGGGGGCCTGCGAGCGGGGTGAGTGGCTTGGCGGGCCGAGGGGAAGGTTCGAGAGGGCAAGCAGCACGGGCAGCAGCGGGATCACGAGCGGCGGGAGCTGCGGTCACCTGCCCAGCTGACCAGAGCCCCAGAAAAGCCACATTGAAGGTGCGAGTCGCAGGATGCGACACCGGGGGAGGAATAGCGGGGGGCGGGGCGGGCGTCTTCCGAAATCACCTCCCCCATCTCCCCTCCTATCCTAGCCTCCACCTCTCCCCCTCCTGCCAGCGTCTCCTCCGCCTCCTCGCTCCAGCTCTTCCTCGTCCTCCTCCTCCTCCTGCTCCTCTTCCTCCTCCTCCTCCTGGTCTTCCTCCTCGCTCCTCGTCCTCTTCCTGGCCCTCGTGCTACTCCTTCTGCTCCTCCTGCTCCTGCTGTTCCTTGGCCTCCTTCTCCTCATGACACTCAACGGCAATCAACGATCGACGTTCGACGCCGACGCTGTCGGCGACGACGACGGCGTTCCCAGCTCTCCGCCGTCCGCATGACGCGCCTCGCCTGAGGGGCCAATCTCCGACGCCGTCACGAAGGCCATGGTCAGCCACTTCGCACGCGAGTTCACGAAGGGTGCCCTGTTCGCCCCTGCGTCCGTGCCCGCTGCGCCTGGGGCGGATGCCCCGCTCGGTCGCTTCCCGCCGCCCCTCTCTTGCTGCTCCGCGACCTCCTCGCCCCCTCCCTCTCCCCCCTTTCCCTCTCCCCTTTCTTGGAGACCATTGCTGCACGGTTCGAGAGTCGAGGATCCAGGTTGGAGATTCTTGGGTCGAACGTTTTTGGACATGTTCAACCCTTCTGAGGCCCCTGGGGGCTTCAGAGACACCCGGAGACCCCTAGGTACCCCCCCGAGGGGAGGTATTGTTCACCATGTCGGCGAGGTCGACACGTTATTCAGGAGTTATGTGAGCGTTCTCTGGGGCTCTTGTCGCCACGGCTGGACGCAGCTCCACACATTGGTCAGCATGTGCCCCAAGAGGGTCCGGGGTTGGGAATCTATCTCGAGCGGATTGTGAATCGATCGCCGCTAAGAAAAAAAGGTCCACATTTTTTTGCCTCGGGCACTTCGCGCATCCCAGGATCGTCAATCAACGACTGACGACATAACATCAGTCTCGGGAAATGCGCTTTCAGCACCCCTTTCCCTCCCCATAAGAAGCCCCGCCGAAGGCCCGAAAGGCAGGGTCCGTATGGCGCACCCGCATCCGATTCGACATAGCCTCTCACACGATTTGTGGCCCAAAATGAGCTCCAACGAAGGTCCTAGCGGCAGGGTCCGCATGGCGTGCCCGCATCCGGTTCGGCTCACCCCTCACACGTGCTGTGGCCCCATAGGCAGTTCCATCCAAGGCCCCTCTGGCAGGGTCCGCATGGCGCACGCACCCGCCCCATGTCGGCACACCCGTCATTCCTTCCCCCAGCTTCTTCTCATTTGCCTCGCGGTACCCGCAGCTCCATATGGTTGGGCCCTTCGCCAGGATTTTTTTGGAGCGTCGCCGTCCCTTTAGACCCGAGCGCGCCCCTTCGGGCCCTTTGAGGATGAGCAGGAGGAGGAGGAGGAAGAGGAGGAGGGGGAGGGGAGGGGGAGGGTGAGGAGGAGGAGGAGGAGGAGGAAGCTGGGGAACAGGATGATGATGATGATGATGATGATGATGATGATGATGATGATGATGATGATGATGATGATGATGATGATGGTGATGATGATGATGATGATCATGATGATGCTGATGATGCTGACGATGATCATGATGATGATAATGATGGTGATGGTGATGGTGATGATGATGACGACGATGACGATGAGGATGATGATGATGATGCTGATGATGATGCTGATGCTGATGCTGATGCTGATGCTGATGCTGATGCTGATGCTGCTGAGGATGATGATGCTGATGATGATGACGATGATGATGTTGCTGATGATGATGATGATGCTGATGATGATGATGCTGATGATGATGCTGATGACGATGATGATGCTGCCGATGATGATGATGATGATGATGATGATGATGATGATGATGATGCTGATGACGATGATGATGATGATGATGATGATGATGATGATGATGATGATGATGATGATGATGCTGATGATGATGCTTCTGATGCTGATGCTGATGCTGATGATCATGATGCTGATGTACATAATGATGATGATGACGATGATGATGATGATGCTGATGATGATGATGATGATGCTGATGATTGTGATGATCATGCTGCTGATGATGATGCTGATGATGATGATGATGCTGATGCTGCTGCTGATGATGATGATGATGATGATGACGATGATGATGATGATGAGGATGCTGCTGATGATGATGCTGATGATGCTGATGCTGATGCCGATGATGATAATGATGATGGTGATGATTATGCTGATTATGATGATGATGGATGATGATGATGATGATGATGATGATGATGATGATGATGATGATGATGCTGATGATGCTGATGATGATGATGATGATGATGATGATGATGATGATGATGATGCTGATGATGATGATGATGATGATGCTGATGCTGCTGCTGTTGATGATTATGCTGCTGTTGATGATTGATGATGATGCTGCTGCTGATGATGATGATGATGATGATGATGATGATGATGATGATGATGACGATGATGATGATGACGCTGATGATGATGCTGATGATGATGATGATGCCTTGTACTTGTACGGAAATCCTTGAGAGCGGAGTGGGACAGCCGTGGCAGCATCCTTGCGTCTTCCGTCTCATCTTGGCTCTAGCTTCAAAGGCGCGGCTCCCGCGGCGGACCCCCCATGTTCAGTGGGCGGTGCAGCGCGGGGGAGAGTACGCCGCGCAGAGCTTGGTGAACTACATCGCGCGGCGCCCAGCCGCTGGCTGTTCTGGTTCGTGTGCGGCGTGGGCTTCGGGCTTGCGACGGCCGCTGCGCTGCGGAGCGCTTGGCAGGCTGCTCGGTGCCGCGGCAGGCGCAGGCGGGCGGCCATCCAGGACTACGGGACCGAGGGCCTGCCCCGGTGAAGGATGGCGACGTGGGCGTTCATGCCGTACATCAGGGGCGGCCCACGGCAGGTCTGTCATCAGAGGCTGGGGCTCGGGCAGGTGGCATTATCGGTAGCGAGCCTCTTCGTGATCGGCACCCCCGACCTGCACGGGCACGCGGAGGTCTACAGTGCCGGGTCGGCCGTCGTCGCGGCCGTGAGGTGGGCAACGTCTCTCAGCGTGCTGCCGGACGGCCTCCCTCCCGGGGACGTCTACCGCTTCTGGGTGGGGCCGACGGTGGTGCAGCGGGCCGCCTTCTTCGCCGCGGCGGTGCCCGAGGGGGTTGTGGCTGTTGGTGCGGCCGACGGCCGTGGGGCTGACGACTGGGTCGCCGACGAGTGCTTCGACGGATTCCGCGACGCGGACGACGTGGCGCACCAGGCCGGAGCAGGCGCCATCGGGGACAAGGACATCCACCGGCTGGCGGGCGGCTCTGGGCTCTTCGGGCAGTTCTTACGGCCGAGCGACGTACAGGAGTTCTTCACCCGCATCGTGGCCGTCGACGCCCGCTTCGTGCCGGTGCGCCGCAACGGGCTGGGGCGACGGGGGCGAACGTGGGCGGACATGTTTGCCGCTGCGACGAAGGAGGATTTCGACAAGGACTGGTCGCTCAGTGGCGACCGAGCGGCCGAGTGGAGCCTGGAGCACATCAACTCGGAGGGCAACGGTTTGGGAGTTCACCACGATCGGATTCGATCGCTGTGTCGCCTGGTGCCCAACGCCTGGGAGACGGCCGAGCTCCTCCACCTCGCGGCGGCGGACGAGGCCGGCATCCTCGGCGTCCAGCTCGACGGCACGAACCTCGTCATCGTGAAGATGCTGCTGAAGAGGATGCAGACCATTGAGGTCGCCCACCTGGAGTGGGCTAAGGAGGCCGCGTCAGGAGGATACGGTGGGCGTCTCAGCGTCGAGGAACAGCACGCGTTCCCGGGGCCCTGCCGGGGCTCGGGGGCTCGGGGCAGCTGATGATTGGTCCAGAGCTCCTGAACGTGGTTCTTGTCGGCGTGGAGCGGGAGGCGCAGCTCAGCACGGCCCTGCGGAAGGGCTGCAAGGAGCGAGTCGCAGCCCGCAAGAAGGGCGGGGACGACAGGTCGTGAGCCTCCGCCGACTCCCACATCTGAGGTTGGCTCGCGCTGCTCTGAGGGTGCAGTGCCGGCCTCTTGTTCTCTGTTCGCCCTCCTCCTCCTGTCCTCTGGGCTTCTCCCCCTCATGCACACATCTGCGCCTCGCGCTCCCGGCGTCCGGGAGGCGCGTGGGCCCCGAGTGCCGCCGCCCTACGAAGCTTTTAATTGCGGGGACGAGCCCTCCCGGTACCTCGCGACATCTTGCCGCTGCCGCGGCCGGCGGTGGAGCGGTATCGGGGTACCGACGGGGGGCTCTCCCGTGCCGTCCGACAGCGTCTGGGGAAGCGCGAGAGTTTTGAGATGGACTGTGACCGTGCCGTCCACGCCTTGAACTCGCTCTATCTTCGCCAGGGCCAGCCCCCCCGTCGGCCAGGGCGCCGACCGTGCAGTTTCTGTTTCGCTGGGCCAGCGCCACTGTCTCGATAGAGTTCGGGACTCCGTCGTTGCTCTCGGCCCGCCTCCGCCGGAGGTCACTCCCGCAGAAGCTCTTCGGAAGTTTCGCGTGGCGAGCTGGTATGATGTGGATTCTGCCGTGCTCGGTTCCTATAACCTCGCTAGCGTCTCGCTCCCCTCTGGCTCGCCCGCGCTGGTACCGCTCGAGGATCTGTGGGGCGTGGGCGGGTCGGACATGATTGGGGACTTCGTCCAAAGCCGATTGCTACCGTCTAGTGAGGTAGAAACTCGTTTGAACAATTCTCAGGTGGCGGTGCCATATAGTGATCCGAAGCTGCGTCGGGTCGCGGCCTTTGAGGAGTTCACCCGTGCACTGCAGCAGCGTGGCATGGTAGATTTCAGCTTCTCGGCCAAGGAAAGGGTTGAAGCTTTTTTCGTGCACGAGAAAAATGGGAAGCTCCGGCTGGTAGTGGACTGTCGTAGAAGCAACTGTCATTTCCAGGACCCCGCCCCCGTTTCCCTCCTCGCCGGCGAAGGCCTGGCTGGGCTGGAGCTCGGCGAGGGAGAGGAGTTGCATGTTGGCGGGGCCGATTTGTCTGACGCTTTTTATCATATGCAGTTGCCTCCCGATTTGAGGCCGTTTTTCTGTTTCAGGGCCGTGCGGGCGGGGGCGGTGGGGTGTACTAGTGTCAATGGGCAAGCCGTGCCTCCGTCTGCCATGGTATACCCTCGACTGTCTGTGATACCGATGGGCTGGAGCTGGGCCCTGTGGATGCGTCAAACGGTCCATGAACGTATTGTGGAACAAGCCGGAGCTTCCCCCGAGAACCGCATTGTAGATAAGCAGGTGACGCCGGACCTTCATCGCGCGTGCCATTCGCAGTATGTGGACAACTTCATTGCCGTGTCTACTGGCGCCAGTGCGGTTCGCTCTCTCGTTGCCGATGCTATTCGTGCTCTTGAAGGGAGGGGGCTCGTCGTACATGAGGAGGAGTATTCTGGGGAGGACAAGGTGGCCCAGGTTTTGGGGTGGCCGATCGACGGGTCCCGGGGCCGCGTGGCTGCCACCCCCCTGCGCCTCTGGAGGGCCCGCCTGGCTATTCGGGCGGTCCTCCGGAGGGGGGGGCGGTGCTCTGGGCGTGACCTGGAGCGGCTCCTGGGGCATCTCGTCTTCCTCTCCCTGGTCCGCCGGGAGGGGTTATCGCTGTTCTGGTCGTGCTATGCCTTCGTCAGAAAGAATTGCACCCAGGAGGAGCGTCTGTGGGCTTCTGTACGTCGCGAGCTCTCACTCTGGGATGGGCTTGCACCTCTCCTCTGGCGGGACCTACGGGCGGGCTGGAGCGACGAGGTGGTGGCCGTCGATGCTAGTGAGTGGGGGCTGGGGGCGTGCGCCGCGCAGTGTGGGGGCTCTCTTGCCCGGAGCGTCGGCCGGACCTCGGAGCGTTGGCGCTGGGGTCGGGTCGGCGCGGCCATGGGTCCTCGTCGCCACGCGCTGGACCACGCTCGAAAGGCCGAGGCGGCGGCGGCCCTGGCTGGGGAGGCCCGCGAGGCTGCCCCCTGGATCGCCGCCGCCAACGACGTCCCAGGGCCCGAGTGCGCGCCCCCCCAGCCCCCGTCGGCTGGCTCAGGTGTCCTGGACAGCCCCGGAGACGTCTTCGGGTTCGGTCGGGTCAAGCGGGTCGTGGACTTCCCAGAGGTCCCGCGGGAGATGATCGAGCTGCGGTGGTCCGTCGTCGGTCGCTTCCCGTGGAGGCGCAAGGGGGAGAGTATCGCCGTCTACGAGGCCAGGGCCACGTTGTACGGGTTTCGCCATCTTCTTCGTTCGTCTCGGAACCTCGGGAAGCACGTGGTGGTCCTGGGGGACTCGCAGTCGACGGCCAGGGCGGTGACTCGGTTTCGGAGCGACAGCCGAAGCATGATGCGGGTCACCCAGGCGATCGCGGCCCTCTCGCTCGCGACCGGTTCGGCCTTGCACTATCGGTGGTTGCCCTCGGAGTGGAACGTCGCGGACTCTCCTTCCCGAGGCCTCTGGGCTCCAGCTGCTCCGAGCCCGCTCGATTTCTCCAAACATGCTCCCGCGGGCCAGACCCGCGCCGACCTCGACCGGCGCTCGGATGGCGCCGCCGGCGGCGCCTGCGGCCTCGCTGGCCTCGCCGCTGGACAGACGGGGGGCCACCCGAGGGGCCATGACGGCGAGCCTCTCTACGTCAGCACGGGGCCCCGGCCCGTCGCGTCGCCAACCAGCCGCTGCCCGCCCTCCTCCAACCAAGAGGAAGCGCCAGACGGTGGCCGACGTGGCGGCCCGGCGGAGGGCCTCTGCCGTCACAGTGGGGGGGCTCACGGTGCTGGAGAGCGCCTCGGTTCGGCCTCGGACGCGCCAGAAGTACCAGAGGAGGAGGAGGAGGAGGAGGAGGAGGAGGAGGAGG